AACCCATTTACATCCTCACTTCCTTCCCACTAATTTCCTGCCTTCCTTCTCTAAATTCCTAACTTCTGCCTGAAATTCCGGGCTTTGGAGTCAGGTTGCCTGGGTTCCAATCTGTTCTATCACTTACCAGCTGTGTAGCTTGAGCAAGTCACTACCCCTTTCCCTAACCCTAACCCTAACCCTAACCCTGCTCCTTCAAACAGGAAGGGATAGTTCCTAACCCATGGCTTTATGGGAACAAGATCAGATCAAGCTGGCACTTGGTATGCACAGTCCCTGGTATGTCATTGGTGTGCCCTGGTCAGGCCGGGGTGTAAATGAATCAGTGACAGTAGAGAACGCAGACACAACAGGAACAGGTGCAGAGAAGGAAGCAAGAGACCTTAGGAGCAGAGAGCTGCTTGGGGGTAGGGGTCACAGTCAAGGTGATGGGGGAGGGTCGTGGTGGGCAGTGGGCATGTCACAGTTCCCACCAGGAATGAGAAACTTTATCTGATGGTACAAAGATAAAAAAGAATGTAACCCACTGTCACCTTGGGGCGCGGCCCTCCAAACTTTTTCTGCGGCTGCCCACAAAGGTACATGGGCATGCGTGTCTTTTTTCCTATACAAAGATAGTGTCCCTGGTACACCTACCATTTTGAAATCTGATTGGTTGGTTGGTTTCGCTCGACACTGTAGCACATATATGTTCCTGCTTCGGTTAACATGGGCTCGTATGTCGGTTTTGTTTGTTGTCGGGTAATTTTCCATTTTATGTCTGTCCTGTAATTTATCTTATCAATTCATTCCTTGATACATTAGTCAAATATGTGTGGCGCACCGACTCTATTCCAGGCCCCGTGCTCATTGGAGGCAGAAAATAAACAAGGCGTTGTGTGAGAAGGTGTCCCCGAGTGACCAGTGCACCGGAGGGAAATACGAAGCAGGGAAAGTCAAGGGGGAATGAGTGGGACTGGTTTTGTAGAGCGACCCACCATCCTGGTTTGCCCAGGACTGCGCCGGTTTGAGCACTGAAGTCCCCACGTCCTGGGAAACCTGGAAGTCCCCGGCAAACCAGGACCATCGGTCTCCAGTGATCAGAAGAGGCCTGTCTGAGAGGTCACATGTGAGCAGAGACCCCTGGACGTTAGTGGAAGGCAGCTGTGCGGATGTCTGGGGAAGACAAGAGGATGTCTAGGCAGAGTAAGTGTGAGGGGCAGGAGGCCAGAGGACAGCCAGAGAGCCAGAGAGGCCGGAGTGCAGTGATAGCAGGCAGCGGACAGGGTGCAGATGGTGGCAGGAGCCAGGGCGAGTGGAATCTCCTAGACCATCGTAAAGACTTGGGGTTTTGATCCTTCGAGTGATGAGAAGTCAGTGGAGTTTTGAGCAACCAAGTCCCATGATCTGATTTACATTTTTAAAGAGCCACTCTGGCTTTTGGTGGAAAAACATCGTACTGGATAAAGATAGACAAGGAATCGGTAGGGCCGTTATTGCAACAATCCATGCACGCCAGCCATGCTCGTGGCCCAGGCAGGGTGTTGGCAACGGTGGGTTTCTGGATGCATTTGGACGTTGGCGCCTTAGTGGGGTTTCTTGGAGGAGTGGAAGTGGGGTGCGGGCGCCAGCTTTCTAGAATGAATTCCAAGTTGTTGGCTTGCACGTCTGAGTCGGCGGCGGTGCCCGGAAGGAGTGGAAGGCATGGGAGTCGAGACTTGCTGTAGACACGTTGAGTCCGAGGTGCCTCCAGCGAGTGAAGTGTGCAGGAAGCAGTTGGATGTTTAAATCCAGAATTCAGGGGAGAATCAGAACCAGAGGTCCGTTCGGGAATTACTGAGTACATTGGGCACTCAAAGCCGTTCAGCTGCTTGAGATCAACTAGCAAACAAGTGTAGACAGAGGTCCAAGGGCTGAGCCCTGGGACAGGCCAGTGTTTAAGGGTAAAAAGAGGAGGAGCGTCCAGCCAAAGAGACGGAGGAAGAGCAGCTAGCGAGGTAGAAGGGAAACCGGAGCTCCCGAAGCCACGTGGGAGGAACGGTATGTCAGTCCTTCTGAGAGCCCATGAGAGGAGGGTGAAGACCCCCTCACTGGCCCTGGCACACGGAGGCTACTGCTTCGGTGCTGTATTGGGGTGAAAGCCCCTTTGTAATGGGCTCAAGAGAAATGAGGAAAAGGCATGGAGCCCGAGTCCAGACAACTGTTTCAAGGAGTTGAACTTGCAAAGGGGAACAGAGCAGTGGACGGTATCTGGATGGGGATGGAAGGTGGAGAGATGGAGCCTGATGGCCGGCGATATTCCGAGGTGCCTCGTGGCGGAACATTGAGGTTATTAGTACCGCTATCGTTTTCCTGTTCCAAACAGTGCTGCTGAATGAAGGGCCAATCAGGGGCTTGTGATTGAAAAGAAATGTCCTTGCTCTGGGTATGTGTTTTGTCAACATGACACCCTGCCCATCTGTGTATTAGTTCAACATTTCTGCTTGGTTGGAAGATGGTAGGCTCTGATACTGTTCACTTGGGTTTCACTGGTTGACATCTCCAGGTGCCCTGTGCCTCAGAGTCTGCAGAGAACCCCCAGCCACTAGGCTCAGGCCCCTCCCTGGCCGACCCCCTTTGCCCCAGCCTCATAGTGATGAATTGCAGAGGTCTTGGTGTGGCATGTGGTAGCCACAGAGAAAGTCCCAGAAGAGCAGGAAATGTGTCAGGCCCTGTCAGCTGCTGCATTTCCCAAAACATCCCTCATGAGCTCCAGGGGAAAACAGGGACCTTGTGAGTACCTACTTATCAGACCAGGCAGCAAGAACTTTATGAGCCACGTGCCAGCTGGGACCAGGCTTCCTGCCTCTTACATAACTGCAGAGCTGGGGGCCAGCCGGCCAGAGCCCTGGAGGGCCAGCCGGGAAAGGCCCAGCACTCAGCAGTCAAAGACCAAGGCCAACCGGACTGAGCCAGACACCTGGGCTCCAGGTTCCTCTCAAACATCTGCAGGTTCTTGGGAAGGACTCTCAGCTGCCATGGTTGGGTCCTGGGACCTCATCTTCAGTCCCAGATGGTTTACATCAGTCCTGGGTATGCCTCAGGCAGCATTTCTTCTTACAGACAGGACCATACACACACACACACACACACACACACACACACACACAGATTTACTGATATGCACCAATATGAATACAGACACACAATACCTACATACACATGTGGTTACACTGTCATGCTCATGTGTGAATAGACACTCATACTCATCTGCAGACTCACACATGTAGACACCCACATGCATACACACAAGCACATTAATACATATGAAGTTACACACTGACACGTCAACACACTGCACAGAGGCTCCCTGAGGAACACACACGTACACACTGAGAACACACAGTCAGAGAAGCAGACACACTGAAAAATCGTACAAACAGGGTCACCATGACACACGCTAACAAGAGAGCACAGGCAGTCACCTACATGGACTCACTGACACAATACCTTGCCATACAGGAACCCACACACACACCAGAAGACACACGAGCTGAAGCACATCTATACACGAAACACCTGCACCCACCCCCACCCCCACTCACACGTCTACAAGCCCGGAGTCTCCAGGGCTCTCCTGCAGCTGTTGCCCACCCCCCGGAGGGAGGTGATGTCCCCGAGGGAACAGAGGTCTCCCATCCCATCCTAAGCTCTGCTGGGTCCTGCATGACATCAACAGCCCCCTCGATGCTGCCGGGAGTTTCGAGCTGGGGCCAGGCCGGCGCCAGGCACAGACACTTCAGCCCTTGTTGGGAGAACAGAGAGAGGCTCTCTTGTCCACTGCCCGTCCTCCGGCTCCAACTGCTGGACCTCTCGGCAGCCTCTCCTCAGGCGGGTGCAGGTACGTGGGACTGGGGAGGACAAAGCTGGCAGAGGGGCCATCCGCATTAGCGCAGGGCAGGGGAGGGTGTGGCAGCATCTGCGCTGCCTGCAGGGGCACAGGCCAAGGGTGCCAGGCTGCAGCTCGCTCTCTCGGGGCTCCATGGAGCCGGGGGACTCCCTCCCTTGCTCCGCGGTCACTTTCTCAGCTCCCAAGAGAAAGGATACCCACTGGACCCACCACCATGGGTGGTGCCAGGTGCCCACTTGTAAAGATGGGTAGTGTTGACCCAGAGAGGCTGGGCTGCAGCCCAGGACCCACAAAGGGCCAAGGCTATGGTTTTGGGATGCACGGTACCCAACAGTTCCCGCAAGCAACTGGGATGTCAGGTGAGATATCAGTTCTTGGTCTTGACCTTCCAAGCTGGGGTGGGGCTGTGAGGCCCTGGGCACCCTGAGTCAGGCCTAGATATGCCAGCCTCCTCCACCCTGCAGGGTGGGGGCAGGAGAGACACTGTGCTCCTGATGCACAGATCAGCTGATCTGGCCGGTCTGGGATCTCTCCAAGCAGCGCCCTTACAGGGGCACTAGGCAGAAGTCCTCGTAGCAGGGGATGATCGCACAGAGCCCATGCTGGGGTTTCCACAGCAATTCAGGGTTACATCATGCCTGCATGGGAGCTGGGGAGCCCAGCCTGCCCCTCACAAGCTGTGTCATCCTGGCAAGTCTCTTTCTAGGCCTCAGGCTCCGCACCTATGAAATGGGGGGAAGGATGCAGATGTTTGTGCTCTGCCAGGGTTCTTCCCGGCCTAGCCATCCTGGACTTCTGGAGCTGCCTGGCTCGCCGGGATCTTGCTATCCTGGTTGTCCCCAACCCTTGAAAAAGACTCAGCCTGGGAGGGGCCACCCTGACCATCCTCCCTCCTCCCCTCCTGAGATGTTTGATTGGAGACGCTGGGTCCAGTGGGTATCATTTCTTGCCCCATGCAGGGGTTGCTGGCCTATGGGGTAGGAGAAGCTCACGCTGTAGCAGGTGCACGGATGGGGTTAAGGAGGAGTGGTGAGGGAAGAGGTGTCCGAAACCCTAGACAGATGAAGCTAACTCTCCAATGAAATTTCTCATGCCTGCTCCCCCTTGTGCCCCCAGCACTCACCCTATCACTGTTACAGAATGGACTCTAGTCCTAGCCCAGCTGGGACCCCCAGTCCACAGGTGAGTGGGTCTTGGTTCCCCTACCCACCAGCAGGGGGCTCACTTCCTCACATGGCTCTGGAAATCTATGGAAGCACCTGCCAGGCAGGTGGGCCATCCCAGACAGGACTGGGGGGTCAACAGGGGTCACTCTGGGCTGGGCTCACAAAAGCGGGGCATTTGCAGGGTAAATACAGAAGGGACTTGGGCAAAGGACTTCAAGAAGTAAATGGGGTGGAAAAATCATGAGATTGGCCCTGAGGACACCTGAGTTTTAAAAATGCCTGTGGAGCAGCCTCTAAGTCCTTGGACAGCTCTTCTCTGGGCCTCAGTTTCCTCACCCTCACAATGGACACAATCCAAGGCTGTTGTGAGAAGCAGATGAGATGGTTTTGGGGGTGGGTAGAGGGGTAGAAAGGGAGGGAAGGAAGGAAGGAAGGAAGGAAGGAAGGAAGGGAGGGAGGGAGGGAGGAAAGGAGGGAGGGAGGGAGGGAGGGAGGGAGGAGGGAGGGGCCTAGTAGAGAGGTTGGAGAATAAATAGATCAGGGCTTGGGCCAGAGGAACAGGGAGGGAGCCAGGAGTGGGGACCTGTTGGTCTTGATCACTTCTTCCTGTAAATGTTTTTAGCCCTCAAGGTCCAGTGGGAACATCAACCTGGGGCCTTCAGCTAATCCAAAGTGAGTTCTGGACCCTCAAGCAACTTTCCACCCTGGCTCCCCTCGTACCTGGCTCCTCTAGGCTTGGGAATAAAATCCACATTCTCTGGACTTTAGACCCTTCAAGACACTCTGTCACCTGGGCCCAGGACTGTCCTCCAGCTTTGCTTCCCACTAATTCCCCAACCTCTGCCCACGCTGAGCCCTGGGCCTGGAATGCCCCCCAAAGTCTGCGGTGTTAGCAGCTCCCCACCTTTCAAGCTCTTCTCAGGCTTTGAAGCCAAATCCCTCACCTTCTGTGCAGCTGTGTCTGGCTTTCTCCCCACCTTACTTGTTTACCTGATGTGAGATCCCCAGGTGCAGGGCCAGTCTTACGAGCCCCCTCTCGGCTGGAGAACATGGCAGTCTTCAGCAGCGGGGAGGCTTGGCTGGAGGAAAGCTCCCCGCATTCCCCACCTTCAAAGTGGAAAAGAAGTCTGGATTTGATCTCAGGACTGGGCTTTGCAAGCTTGCAAATGCGGACGCATGTTCTTACCTCTTCCCCCAGTGCCCGGCCCACTGACTTCGACTTCCTGAAAGTCATCGGCAAAGGCAACTATGGGAAGGTGGGTAACATGGTGAAGGTGGGGGGACCTGGGTCTCCCCTTCTCTAGCCTCCCCTCCCCACCCCTGGTCATTTGCATGTGCGAAGAGGGAGCTCACAACCTGCAGATCCAGGGATGCAGATCCAGAGCTGGGGACCACCCGCGGAATGATCACCTTCGGGGCCTTGCGTCTCTGCTTCCGCTCAGGTCCTCCTGGCCAAACGCAAATCTGATGGGATGTTCTACGCAGTGAAGGTGATACAGAAAAAATCCATCTTAAAGAAGAAAGAGGTACCAGAGCTCAGGCATAAGCATTTCCTCTCCTGCTCCTTGACCCCCAGGCTAGGTGGCTTCCCAAGATGGATCCCAACTGGGAGGGTCCATGGGCTGGGTGCGGAGGGGGTCACAGCAGGGGGCCAGTTTGTGCCCAGGATGCTGACCCTTCTCTAGAAAGGCCGCCCAACCACCTCACCCACAGGCCTGCAGGAGGAGCCCATCCCAGCCCTGTGCCTCCCCTGGGAAATGAGGGCCCCACGGTGACAAGTCCTCTGCCCTGCCTAGGTGTCCACCTCCCCATCTGTGCAGTGTGAGGTCACACTCCATACTCTCCAAAGGCCCTTCAAGCCACAGCCGTCCTGGAGTTCCAGGTGCTCTGGCTGACTTGTCTCTTTAAGAGAGAGCAGGCCCAGAGAGGGCTGGATAGCAGATCAGCAGACGCAGGAGAGGGAATTAACATTAACAAGGGCATTGTGGGGGGGATCTTCCTGAGAGAGGTGGCCTTGTGGCTGGCCTTGAAGGTAGAGTTCAGTGGTCTGAAAAGAGGGTGCCCAGGCAGGGGAAACAGCATGGACACAGGCATGAATGTGGCCTCATGTAGGAAGTGGTCATAGGTGCTTTGCTTACCACCCCAGGGGTGGGGGCAGGGGTTTCTGATCTGGGGGCTGGAGCTGCACCCGTATGGACTGGCGGGGGGTGAGGCTGACCACACCGAACCCTGAACACTAGGCAAGGAGCTGGGCCTGGCAATTGGAGCCACAGTGAGGAGGGGCATGGGAAGGGCCGGCAGCGCAGCCCCCACCAGCGAGGCGCTGCGGGCTGTGACAGGGCCCCTGTCTGTGTGACCCCGCAGCAGAGGCACATCATGGCAGAGCGCAATGTGCTTCTGAAGAACGTGCGGCACCCCTTCCTCGTGGGCCTGCGCTACTCCTTCCAGACGCCGGAGAAGCTCTACTTTGTGCTGGACTATGTCAATGGAGGAGAGGTGGGTGGGCCGCAGGGAGCTGCTCTGGGCCAGCTGTTAGCTGGGAGCTGTCCGTCCCCCACTCCCCTGTGTGCCAGGCTCTGGGATGATCTCACATTACCCCTACCACAGACCCATATTGTAGCTGCAGAAACCCAGGCTCGAGAGCTAACTCGCTTGCTCAAGGCCACCCAGCCCGTACCTGGCAGAGCCAGGATGGAAATGTGGGTCTGCACTGACTTCTCCCTGCAAAGCTGCCCAGACTCAGCCAGGAAAGGTCAATGTCGGAGGAGCTCTGCAGTCAAGATTTGCAATACCCGTTTTACACCAGAGGAGGTCACTGTGGAAACTGGAGACCTGACGCCCCCTAGTGACCTCGAAGCACAGCTGCACCAGCTGAGTTCCCTCCTTGACTTCCCTGTGGCTCCCTGAGCAAAACTTGGTGGGGCTCCCTTCAGTGACCCCAGATATAAGTTCTGTGATCTCATGCCTTTTGGCCTGAAGCCAAGAGGGGAGTGTTGGTCCTGCATTCCTAAGTCCCCTGGTGGAGTTGAAAGACTTTCCATGCCAGCAAAACACACCAAAGCGATTGGCCCGCAGGCAGATCTGACCTGGGCTGAGTTTGACTCAGCCATAATAATCTTATCACCTGGTGGGTGGAACCAACCATCTTGAACCACCCAGTTTCAAATCCCAGCTCTGCCAGTTGCAAGCCATGTGACCTTGACAAGTCACTTGACAACTCTGACCTCTCCCAGGTTCCTCTTAGGTCAGCGGTTCTCAACTTGTGGGTCGTGACCCCTTTGGGGATCGAACGACCCTTTCACAGGGGTCGCCTAAGACATAACAGTAGCAAAATTACAGTTATGAAGTAGCAATGAAAATAATTTTACGGTTGGGGGTCACTACAAAATGAGGAACTGTATTGAAGGGTCGTGGCATTAGGAAGGTTGAGAACCACTGTCTTAGGTGAAGCCAGCATCCTATTTGGGACCTTGAAAATGGTCATGAGGATTAACTGAGATAAGAGATGTGAAAGGTTCTGGCTTGGAGCCTGGACCACAGTAGGTGCTCAGTCCATGCTAATTAATCTCTCCCGCTGACCCTTTGGACACCCACAACTGCTGTACGGGGTGGGGGCCGGCATGCCCTTTGTGGTCTGAGTGCGTTGCAGCTCAGAGGCGGGTGACTTGGCCAGCTGCCCCCTGCCCTGCACTCTGGGAACTGAAGCCCCGAGGAAACCCTCTCACAGGTGTCTCCCCCTCCAGCTCTTCTTCCACCTGCAGCGGGAGCGCAGGTTCCTGGAGCCCCGAGCCCGGTTCTATGCGGCCGAGGTGGCCAGTGCCATTGGCTACCTGCACTCCCTCAACATCATCTACAGGTGAGGCCTGCCTGTGGCTCAGAGCCTGGCTGGGCCCTCTGCCCCAACAGCCAGGGGTCGTGTGGGCCCCTGAACCCTGATGAAATGCCCGTGAACTGCTCCTTTGTCTGAGGAGAATGCCCCCCAGCGGGGTAGGGTGGAAGCCTTCTCCTTTCTAGGATCAAGAGCCCATCCTCCCTGGGCTTCCCTGGGCATCTCTGTGAGCCTCCATGAATGGTCCATCCACCCAGACCCCAGATCCCCAATGTCCTCACTAAGTGGCTGAGCCATCACAGCGTGACTTCTCATCTTCTGCAGGGACCTGAAACCAGAGAACATTCTCTTGGACTGCCAGGTTTGTGTGTGTGTTTGTGTGCATAGTTGCACATGTGTGCTGTGTACACAAGTGCGTGTGCATGGGTGTCTATACATTGTATAGGGATGCATTCATATGTGTGTGTGCACATGCCCATACATGATGTGCACACGAGACCATGTGTATATGCACTGTGTGTGTGCACGTGTGTGCAGGAGATCTGTAGAGGGCAGGGTGGAGGCAGGTGGAGGCTCATGGACTTTGCTGTCCCTCCATGTCTTAGACTGGGTTCCTTGGAAACAGACCCTGAGATGAAGCATTGGGTGCAGAGGCTATGGGGAATGCTCTCAGGGGATCTACCTTTAAGGGGCGAAAAGACGGGATTGGGCAGAGGAGGAAGCTCACCTGCTCTGAGGTTGCGAGTGAGGTCTCGGCTGATCTTCTAGGGTGGGGAGGGCCTGAGCTGGAATGGCTCTTTAGAACTGTTCTAAATTGAGGCAATTTGTGTCCCTGCATCAGTCAATCACTGGGTAGGGATTGCCCCTTGGGAGGGGCATAAGTTTGGGTGAGGGCAGTGTTCCAGCATGGGGGGATGGGCATGCCAGCTCCTCATGGGGAGATTTGGGCAGAGCCCCGCAGTATCCACTCCCTCCATGACCTCCACCAGCCACCCACCTGTGCAGCTGCCACAAAGTGTGGCTGCTTTCTGGGTCCCCAGCCCTCTGTCAAGGGCTGCTGCCACCAGGCCCCTTCAGCAAGGACATTCTGGAGCTGCACTGTGATAGGGCATGGGTCTGAGTCTGTGATGAGCTGGGCAGACAGCGGAATGCCATCTCCCCACCTTGCCCCTGTGCTGCTCCCAGTCCAGAAGCCCTGGGTCTCTAAGTAAAGCCTCAGCCTGTGCAGGGCCATCAGACCCCGGAGCTGCTGCCCTGGGGTGGCATCTGGGCTTTGGGATTAGGCCTGCCAGACCTTTATCTTAGGCTACCCTCCTGCCCCTGGCTTCCCTCCTCTGCAGGGACACGTGGTGCTGACAGATTTTGGCCTCTGCAAGGAAGGTGTAGAGCCGGAGGAGACCACGTCCACATTCTGTGGCACCCCCGAGGTGAGCTAAACCTCCTGAGAAGGCAGGTCATGAGTGGTCGAGGCCAGGCTCCTGATCAGAGGCAATGGGTGACACCTAGCGGGCCTCACTCCTTCCCCTGCGCTGCCTGTGCACTCAGCCTTGGTTTCCTCATCTGTGTAATGGGGGCATCAGCTCTGGGGGTTCTGGGACCCAGCCAGCTGCTGGTGACTCTGCCACAGTGATGTCCAGTAGAAACAAACAGAAATAAAAACCATACAGGCAATTAAAAATTTTCATCTGTCATGTTTAAAAAGTAAAAAAAAACAGGTGAAATGAAGTTAAATAACATATTTTAATTGGCCTGATATATACAAAATATTGTCATTTCAACATACAACCATATAAAATTGTTGCCCTATTTTATTCTTTTTTTCTAAGTCTTTGAAATCAGTGTGTATTTTGCACTGATGGGCCGTCTCAGCTCCGACCAGCCACATTTCAAGTGTTCGGTGGCCACACATGGATAGTGGCTGCTGTACTGGACAGCACTGCCCTACAGGGTGAAGTCCATGTGCAACAGGAGGGCCAGGCCTGACAATTAAGATCAGGGTTCGCGCCCGGCTGGTGTGGCTCAGTGCATTGAGCGTCGTCCCATGGACTGAGAGGTTGAGGTTCAATGCCCAGTCAGGGCACACGCCTGGGTTGCAGACTCAGTCCCTGGTGGGGGGCATGCTGGAGGCAGCCAATCGATGTTTCTATCTCTCTCTCCCTTCCTCTTTCTCTAAAAATCAATAACAATATATTTTGTAAAATATCAGAGCTTGCAAGTGTGAGGGAAGCTTTTCTTCCGCCCTCTTCCTGCCACCAAGAGCGTGGAGGGTTATAGTGTGTGGGTCCCAGCAGGAATTCACAAGGCCTGCTAAGGCCTCTGTGCAGCCTTGGGGTTCAAAGCTTTCCCACCGGCGCTGACCCTTGGACGCCGGACCAGAAGGGGTCTCTAGTTGCTGCAGAGAGGTCTGGGTGGGTCTGTGGGGCTGAGGCTGCAGGACTAGGAAACTCCCCTCACCCTGGCATGGGACAGGATTTTAGCTGCTCTATTTTTCTCTCTATGCTTGAAAATCCGGGTTTCAGATCTCAGCTGGGCCTGCTCAGTTTGGTTTTAGAGTAATGGGCGGACAGATGACCTCTCTGAACAGGAGCCATTGTGTTTGTGGGTAGCAGGGTGTCCGCTGGACATCGCCGGTGCTTCCTTCATGCTTGCAAGCCTGGTTTTTAAAAAAATATATGTTTTTCTATTTTTCCACAGTGACCCTTCCTTGGCCATTGCCAGGGGCAGGGAGCAAGGGGATGCGCACCCTGGCTCATGTAGGAGACAGGTGGCCCCAACATGTCATCTCTCCCACGATCTTTTTCTCTGAGTGCCTTGTTTACAGATGGGGAGACTGAGGCTGAGGGCCTTTCAGATGAGTGTGTTTCCCTCCACAGTACTTGGCTCCAGAAGTGCTCCGTAAAGAGCCTTATGATCGGGCGGTGGACTGGTGGTGTTTGGGGGCCGTCCTGTACGAGATGCTGCACGGCCTGGTGAGTGGGGTGTGGCTGTCTGCAAGGGACAGCGGGCTCTGGGGAGACACAAGGTGGGTCTGTCCCTGCGTCACCTGCTCAGGCTCCTCCAGGAACTGAACGGGCCATCTCTCCACTCCAAGCTAAAAAAGATGATGCCAAAATGAATACAAGGATTATATGTATTTTTTCAATAATGTCAGTTCGGTGCTTTATAATATACCGCCTCCTGTGTTACTCCTTTGGCGCCTCAAAACAGCCTTTGGAGGGCGGCAGCAGGAATAGAGTTGTTCTTAATTTCCTGAAAGGGAAACTGAGGCCCCGAAAGGTCACAGAGCTGGTAGGTTATGGAACCAGCCCTGGACCCAATTCTAGGCTGCCCGCTGAGACGGAGGCCCGTGCGGACTTGCCCCAGGCCAGGCTCCTCTCTGGGGCGGCGTCATCAACAGTTTGGTGGGTTTGAAGGAACAGGCTCCTGGAGGCTGGAGAAGGAAGAGCTGGCAGAGGAGGTGGCAGGAAGAGCATCAGGAAAGATGGGCTCTGGACATTGGGGCCTGGCTCTCTTCCAAGCAATGCCCCAGGCTTTAATCTCTCTGACCTGTGTCTTCTCGTCTGAAAAACTACTACCTGTCTCCAAGGATGGTTGTGGGGCTGGGATGAAATGATGATGGGGAGCATGTGAACTTTGCGAAGTGCTAAGTTGGTGCACAAGGCTGATGAAGAGCGGTGGGGTAGGGGATGCTTCCAGGAGGGCCACAGTCTTACACCGGTGAAGAGCGATTCCTCAGCCTGCTCCACTATGCCAGAAGCCCAGAGGTCTCTGTCCCTCTCGTCTGCCATGTGAGCCACTGTACAGGATGCGGGTCTGGCTGGATCCTTCCAGCGACCCAGCTTTGCTCCAAGTCTCTCTGAGACCTAGGCCCACTTGAACATGGATGATCCTCCAGCTCTCTCCCTCTTTGCCAGCCACCCTTTTACAGCAAAGACGTATCCCAGATGTATGACAACATTCTGAACCAGCCACTACAGATCCCTGTGGGCCGGACGGTGGCCGCCTGTGACCTCCTGCAAGCCCTTCTCCACAAGGACCAGAGGCAGCGGCTGGGCTCCAAAGCAGACTTCGTAGGTGACTTGCCAGTGCAGCACTGGCCCCTTCCTGCAGAGTTAGCTCAGACACACAGTGACAGGCATCCAGCTGTCCTGTAAAACCAAGCATTGCTAATTTGTTCATTTGGAAATTCACAGCTGCTACTGTTTGATTACTTCCTTCAGTCTAGTTCTTTTATTCAACCAATATTTACTGAGCACCTACTATGTGCCAGACATTGAGCTGGGTGCTAGGGATTCAATAGACTGGGTCTCTGTCCTTATTAGGTCTATTGGGGGGAGGGCAGACAACAAGCAAACATTATATACAATTATTACAGAGTGTGACAAGCATCAGGAAAAAATGAACAAAGAACTGAGATAGACAATAATGAGAGCGGATGAATTCACACTGGCATGGCCAGGGAGGTCCTTTCTGAGGAGGTGGCAAGCTGAGACTTGAAGGATGAGAAGGAACCACTCATGCAGAGCTGGGAGGAGGCATCCCAGACACAAGACAGCATGTGCAAAAGTCCTGTGGTGGCACCCTGGCTGATTTGGCTCAGCGGTTAGAGCATCAGCCAGCGGTCCAGAGACAGGTTCGGTTCCCACTAAGGGCACGTACCTTGGTTGCGGTTTGTCCCCGGCCCTGGTTGGGTCGTGTGGGTAGCAGCCACTCGATGTGTCCCTTTCACATTGATGTTTCTCTCTCTCTCTCCCTCCCACTCAATCTGAACTAAAAATGGAAAAATATCCTTGGATGAGGATAAAAAAAAAAAAAAAGTCCTGTGGTGGGAACAAGGAGGAGATTGTTATGCTTTAGGGTATTTTGAACAGGGGTGTGGTAAGACCCAATTTAAGATTTTTTTCTTTTCTTGTTTTAATCCTCATCCAAGTACATTTTTGCACTTATCCTCAGACAGAACGGGAGGTAGAGAGGGAGGAAGAAAGAGAGAGAAACATCGATGTGAGAGAGACACACTGACTGGTTGCCACCCACACGAGCCCAACCGGGGCCGGGGACAAACTGCAACTAAGGCACATGCCCTTAGCAGGAACCAAACCCAGGACTCTCTGGTCCACAGGCTGATGCTCTAACCGCTGAGCAAAACCAGCCAGGGCCCAATTTAAGTTTTTTTTTAATCCTCACCCAAGGACATTTTTGCATGTATCTTCAGATACAGCAAGAGATGGGGGGGGGGGGATATCGATGCGAGAGAGACACATCGAGTGATTGCCACCCACACGACCCCAACCAGGGCTGGGGACAAACTGCAACCAAGGTATGTGCCCTTAGCGGGAACCAAACCCGGGACTATCCGGTCCGCGGGCCGACGCTCTAATCATTGAGCAACCCGGCCAGGGCTCAATTTAAGTTTTTTGGTTTTTTTTTTAAGGGGACAATGGGCAACTTTTATTTTATTTTATTTTATTTTTTATTTATTCTTTTGGTGGTAGGTGCCCCTAGTGGAAACTGAACCCCAGGACTCTGGTCCACAGGCTGACGCTCAACTGCTGAGCCAAACTGGCCAGGGCTCAATTTAAGTTTTAAGGAATTCCTCTGGCTTCTGTGCAGAGTGGACTGGACTGGCTTTTCACAAATATCTGAGCACTTCCTCCTTGCCAGTGCCCAGGCTGGGCACTCAGGATATAGAGATGAATAATTCACAGTGCAGTTCCTTAACAAGTTTATGATATATATATATTTAAATTGCATTAGCATTTTCTATTCAACCTAAGGTCATCTGGATTTATAAAAGGAAGCCCACAGTACTCTGTTCTCTACAAGTTTGTTTTCTCGGCATATTGTTTGAGATGCATGGACTAGGAGACAGGCTACCGGGGTTCAGATCCCTTCTCCACCACTACTTATGCTTAACTTCTCTCTGTGAGCCCCAGTTTCCCCATCTGTAATAACAGTACCTAGCTCGAAGCTGCTAAAAAGAAAAATGGATTAAGATATCAAAGCACCTGGCCAGTGTGGCTCAGTGGATTAAGCATCGTCCTATGGACTGAGCAGTCCTGGTTCAATTCCCAGCCAGGGCACATGCCCAGGTTGCAGGCTCAGTCCCCAGTGGGGTTGTGCAGGAGGCAGCTGATTGATGTTTCTATCTCTAAAAAAAAAAAAAAAAAAATATGCAAAGCATTTAGGCCAATGCCTGGCACATAGTAAGTGCTTTTTTATTTATTTATTTATTTATTTATTTATTTATTTATTTAATCCTCATCCGAGGACATTTTTCCATTTTTTGTACAGACAGAGTGGGAGGGAGAGAGAGGAAGAGAGAGACAGGGAAACATCGATGTGAAAGGGACACATCGAGTGGCTGCCACCCGCACGACCAACCAGGGCCGGGGACAAACTGCAACCGAGGTACATGCCCTTAGCGGGGACCGAACCCGGGTCTCTCCGGACCGCAGGCCGACGCTCTAACCGCTGAGCCAAACCGGCCAGGGCGTAAGTGCTTTTTAAAGTATTTTTACCAACAGCCCTACATGTCAGATACCGTGAAGTGAAACAATATTTAGGGTATTTGCCTCCCCATCCCTGGCCAGCTTAAAGAATGGGGCTTTCATGAAGACCAATCTACTCCTTCCAGGTGAAAATTTGCATCTTAAAAAAATGCATGATTTAAAAAATAAGACATATTCACATAAATCAAAATTCAAAGAATATTAATTTTAAAAGTCCCTCCAGCTACCCAGTTCCTTAATTTAGAGGCAACCAGTGTTACCAGTTTTGGGAGACTAGGATATTTTGGGGTACTAGGATATATATCTATATCTATATCTATATCTATATCTATATCTATATCTATATCTATATCTATATCTATATATAGATATATAGATATTTTTTATCCTCACCCGAGGACATTTTTTCATTTTTTGTTCAGATAGAGTGGGAGGGAGAGAGAGGAAGAGAGAGAAACATCAACATGAAAGGGACACATCGAGTGGTTGCCACCCTCACAACCCAACCAGGGCCGGGGACAAACTGCAACTGAGGTACATGCCCTTAGCGGGAACCGAACCCGGGTCTCTCTGAACCGCAGGCCGATGCTCTAACCGCTGAGCCAAACCGGCCAGGGCTAGGATATTTTCGATCTGGCTTTTTTGTTGTTGTTGTTAATCCTTACCCGAGGATACTTTTCTTTTTTTAATATGTTTTTATTGATTTTAGAGAGGGAGAAGGAGAGCGAGACATCGATTGGCTGCCTCCTACATGCACCCCAACAGGGGATCAAACATGAAACCTGGGTATGTGCCCTGACTTGGAATCAAACCCATGACCTTTAGGTTCAATGACCTTCTGATGCTCAACTAACTGAGCCACAGTGGCCAGGGCCCAAGGATATGTTTCCATTGATATTTAGATAGAGTGGAAGGGAGGGAGGGAGAGAGAAACATCAATGTGAGAGAGACATATTGATCCGTTGTCTCCCATACAACCCTGATTAGGGCCAGGGATCGAACTTGCAACCCAGGTAGGTGCCCTTGACTGGGAATCGAACCCAAGATCCTTCAGTCCGAGGGCCAGTGATCTAACCATTGAGAAAACTGGCCAGGGCTGGATCTGGCTTTTTTTGTAATTCTCACCAAAGGATATTTTTCCATTGATTTTCAGATAGAGTGGGAGGGGGAGGGAGAGTGGGGGGGGAGAGAGAGAGAGAAAAAATCGATGTGAGAGAGGCACATCGATTGGACCTCAACTGGAATCGAACCCTCTATTCTTTGGTCCATGGGCCGATGCTCTAACCGCTGAGCCAAACAAGCCAGGGTAGACCCAGCTTTTTTTTTTTTTCCTTCGTACATGCCCCTAGCAGGAACCGAACCCGGGACTCTTTGGTCCACAGGCCGATGCTCCAACCACTGAACCAAACCGGCCAGGGCTGATCCAGCTTTTTAACGAGCCCGGAAGGTGGTATTCTGACATAAGTGGCCGGAGAATCAGTCTTTGAGAAATGCAGACAGAGAGAGGGTCCTGCCGGGACAGGAGAAAGTTGGTGCTGGTGTTGGTTTGGAGCAGGAAGGAAGTGGTGAAGCACACCCAGGACTCAGCTGAAATCCTGGGACTCTAGGAACCTGCAGCTCTCTTTGGGGCTTTCCTTCCTAAACCTTCCGGAGTGAGTTCATCTGTCTATTTCTCTGGTTTGCATTCTGGAAGAGTCAAAATGCACTAAGGCAAGTGGGGTGGGGTCCCCAAGACCCCCTGGGGACCCTAAGGGCAGAGTCTATTGTCTTGTTCAATGACATACCTCCAAAGTCTACCATGGTGCTGGCACAGAGTAGGTGTTAGGTAAAGAGATGTGGAATAAATTGATGTCATGGAGGAAAGGGCTGGGGTTCCCGATGATGGTGAAGGGCAGAGCCTGGCTGCAGAATGCGCCCTTGTCCCAGGAAACCAGCCAGAGGTGCAAGGTACTTTCTCAGTAAAGGTTTTAGGGCTTGGCAGCCAGTTGCCAATAGAGTTGGAGCTCGGGGCCCTGTGGGGTGGGGTGGGAGCGCCTATGGGGAGGCTGCTCCTGACCGGCACCTTCTTCCTGCAGCTTGAGATAAAGAACCACGTGTTCTTCAGCCCCATAAACTGGGATGACTTGTACCACAAGAGGCTGACTCCACCCTTCAACCCAAACGTGGTAAGAAGTCACTGCATTCCAGATTCTGGGTTACCAGGGCTGGTGGGAGTTTGGAGGGTGCCTGGGCCAACTCTCTACAGATTGAAAACCAAGGGTCCAAGAGGCTCCATGACTTGTGCAAGGCCACATAGTAAGTCAGAGGCAGAACCGGTCTGGAACCCAGAAGTCGTGACCGCCAGCTGAGCTGTGTGGTGAGCCATGTGACGCTAATTGCACAGCCTGTGGCAGTTTTTGAAGTGCTCTGTGTCACACAGCATACCCAGATGGAGCCAAGCCCCGCAAAGACATTTTTTCCTATGGCCAGCTTTTTTCCTGATAATTAAAATGACATGTATTCATTGTAGAAAGTATGCAAAACAGAGAAGTCTAAAGAAGCAGGGAGAAAAAGCTTATCTCACTACTCAAAAGAAACCATAGTTGGTGTGTTTCCTTCCAGTCATTTTTCTGTTTTTCACCTAGTTCATATTTTATATACATAGATACTTCTCCCCACCCCCATTTTTTTCTTTTTTGCTAAAAACTATGTCATTATTTTTCCAATTTATATAAAACTTTATAAGGATCATCTTAAGTGACTTATACTATTTCAACCCTATGCTGGTGACATAAGTTATTCAACCAGGCTTCTAACGGTGAACTTTAGGTTATTACCATTTTATATTTATCATAATGTACTGCCGAACATCTTTAAGTGTCTGTTTTTGCTCAGGGCACTGATTCTTTCCTTGTGATGGATTCCAGATGGGGAATGACCAGGTCATAGAGTGAGACTGTTTCTAGGCTCTTGACCCACACTGCCTCGCTGTGTTAGGGAGTGCAGTCTATTTCTGACCAGGACAGCCTGCTGGAGGATTCTCATCTCTGCAGCACGTGCATTGTGGTTTTTAACTTTGCCAATTTGTTAAGTAAAAAAATGGCTTCTGGCATTGTTTTAATTTATATTTCTTTGATTTACAGTGAAGGTGGTTAGTTTTTATTATTTTTAAAAATATTTTTATTGATTTTCTAGAGAGGGAGAGAGATGTAGAAAATGGATGAGAGAAACATCAATATCAATCAGCTGCCTCCTGCATGCTCCCTATTGGGGATCGAGCCCACAACCTGGGCAAGTGCCCTGACCTGGAATCAAACCAGCAATGTCTTGGTGCATGGGTCAATGCGCAACCACTGAGCCACACTGGCTGGGCAGAAGGTGGTTAGTTTTAAAATATTAATTGGCAGTGCTAGTATGAACAAAAGGAACGCCATTTGAGATGCACACTGGAGGTTTGCTTGGCCACCTCTAAGGGTCATGCAATGTCAAGTCCTCTTCATCCAAGCAGTCTACACACCTCAACACTGCCAGTGTTACCATTTACATCTTTCCTCTGGTGATTCACCTGTTCATGAACGTATCTTTGAGCACCGGATTCTTTTTATTTATTTTTTAAAATATGTTTTTATTGATTTTTTTAGAGAGGAAGGGACATAGAAACATAGATGTGAGGGAGAAACATCAATCGGCTGCCTCTTGCATGCCCCCTACTGGGGATTGAGCCCAGTAATCGCACTGGGACCTCTCAGTCCACAGGATAATACTCAATCCACTGAGCTACTACACCAGCTGTAGGATACGCTCAGTTCAGGCACCTAAAAAGTTTATCTGGGGATTTAAAAAAAGACCTTGAGGATAATATTGAATGTACACATTGGAGAGAGAATAATATACAAAATCTAGACAGGGAGGTCATAAAATGCAATGTGTGGACTTTAGAGTGAGACATAGTGGAGTTGGATTCCTGGTTCTGTCGCCTACCACTTGTGAGACCTTGAATAAGTTTCTTTAGCATCAGTGTCTTCGTTTTAAACACACACACACACACAGAAAATACTGGCCTTGCCTAGGGCCACACAGCAAAAAAGGGCCAGGGCCAGGATTCCCAGCCTGGTCTTGGAACTCTGCGTCCTGGGCTAGTCCCACTGTGTGTCCCGTGGCCTTTTGGAGAGGCTGGAAGCCATGGTCTCTTTGGTTCCACAGGCTAAGGCTCGCGTGCTAGAGCGGATCCGCAGACCTTTCCACTTGCTCACCTGCTTACTTCACAGAACCCCACTGGCTCGGTCTTCCCCACAGACCATGCCTCCTCCACAGAGAGGTTGTATCAGTTAGTTCTTGCTGCATAACAAGCCACCCACAAACTATGTGGCTTTAAAACAATTTTTTATTTCCTCCTGATTCTGTGGGTTGGTTGGGTGGTTTCTTTGGCCTGGGCCCAGCCAGCTGTCTGCTGGGCTCTCGCGTTAGCAGTCAGCTAGCAGGTCAGCTGGCAGTTGATGATGACCTACAACTGCTGCACTCACATGCCTGGCAGTTGGCTGGCAGCTGGGGAAACTGGGTTCTCCTTCACGAGTCCTTTCCGACTCCAGCAGGATGGCCTGGGTTTGTTCATATGCTGGATCTGAGGTTCCAAACACAGCCAGAGAGAACTCAGCAGTGTGTGTTTTTCAAGCTTCTCAAAGAATCACATTTGGTAACATCCCGTTATTCTAAGCAAGTCACATGGCTACCCCAAATTAAAGGGATGGGAAAAGAGACCCTGCCTCTGGATGGGAATGGAAAATGTGTGACCGTTTTTACACTCTCCCTCACAGGTCTTCCTGCAAAATAGCTACAGCTGCGCAGTCACTCTCTATTATGTTACCCTATTCTTATTTTCCATAAGACCTATAAACACCACAAATTATCTATTGGTTGTGTATGTGCTTATTATCAACCCTCCTACTCTCTGCATAATATAAGCTCCATGAAAGTGAGGGCCCACCCTATTTGCTCTCCTGAATGACCAGTGGGCATTCAGTAAGTATATGCTGACTAGACTTGTCTGTATTGTGGAGCAGGCAGGGAGGGTGCCAGGGGCTTAGAGGAATGGATAAGTGGTTGCTGCACCCCGTGGAATAAAAGAACGAATGTAAAAGCACGGGTAAGTGACAGTTAAGTAAGGATGTCCAGAAGGCACTCAGAAGGGAGGCCTAACATCCCTCTCAGGGCTTGTGGGTTCCTTTGGCAGCTCTGACCCGTGTTCCCTTCTCATCTTTGGCTTATATCATAGGCAGGACCAGCTGACTTGAAACACTTTGACCCAGAGTTCACCCAGGAAGCCGTGTCAAAGTCCATTGGCTGCACTCCTGACACGGTGGCCAGCAGCGCTGGGGCCTCCAGTGCATTCCTGGGATTTTCCTACGTGCCAGAGGATGAAGCCGTCTTGGACTGCTAGGAGAGAGGTACCTGTGGAACCACTGAAGACAGCTGGTACCTGTAAGGAATTACCTTCAACGGCTAGGAACAGAGACTCAAAGTAACAATGGCTTAATTAAGACGACTCCCCCCCCTCCAGCACATAAAGAATTGTGTTAGGTGGTCCAGGGCTGGGACAACAGGTCATCAGAAACTCAGAGGCTTGCTGTACTTTGCTCTGCTATTCTTGGCAAATGGCTTCAGTATTAGTTGCTACATATCATAAGGTAGTTACTGGAGCTCTAGCCACTGCTTTTGTGTTCTGGGTAGGACAAAAAAAAAAAAAAAGAGAGAGAGGAAAGGAGAGAAGAGCAAAAGGACACTTTTGTAGTTTCCCAGAAGCCCCACCCAATGACTTCTGCTCATTAGCCACCCATGCCTACCTGTAACTGGGGCTGGGAACATTATTACCCCTAGTAACATGGGCGTTCTGACACTAAGGGAGGAAGAGCAAAAGTTGGGTGGGCAGCCAGCAGGCCTCTTGGTGTTTAGATTTTGATTTCAAAGTGTGAAAGGACAGAGATGTGACAAGCCTAGAGGGTATCTATCACTGACATCTTCTTATTTTCCTATGTTGATGGTATCTCTCTTTGTTGTGTTGTGTAGTGTTAGAACCCCTTCCTATACCTTCCTATATTCAGGGAATCGCCTACTTGATGAGTCTGGATGAAGGGCATACCTACCTCCACTTCTAGTAGCTAAAATTCTAGATAGTGACTTTCCCAGTCTCTCTTGCAACTAGGGCCAGGCATGTGGCCCAGGGATGCAGCTGTGCCAGATTTTGACTCAAAGTTAGGGGACTGGGAGCTCTCTTTCATGTGGTAGCTGTGGTGACAGCACCCACAAAACTGAGTTCCTGGTGTAGAAGTGGCAACAATGTAAACTGCAGCAATTGGGACTCAGTGGCAGTTCCTTTATATCAGTGATGCCATTCCCACCATTCCCGGGGAGCCCTGGGCCTTGTGCTCTAGCTTTCAAATGATTTTGAGAGCTTCTGATCCTTTTTACACCATCATTTTTAATTTAATTGGCCAAAATCAGCTTTAGAACAGCAGCTGATGCTGAACCAGTTTCTGGGCTAGATTCTTTCAAGCCTATTATCACTTTTTATACAAACAACCCTAAGGAAGGAACTGTTACTGTTCCCTTTACCAGTGAAGAAACAGGGTCAGAGAAGTTGTTCCTTGCCTGAAGTCACATAACTGATAAAGAGTCAGAGCTGGGCCATATAAGCTGACTCCAGGGCTCTCACATGGAACCGTTGCGCTCGTCTGCCTCTCACTGTTAGGTCCAACAGAGTGGATGTCAAAATCTCTAATGAAAACCAAGTCAGGAATTGGTCACAATAAGCTAGGTGGTGGGAAATTGGGTGTTGAAGGGGAGACATCCAACTGGACACCCATAGTCTGAGCCTGGCTACCAAGTTCATGCGGTGTTCCTCCTTACATGCCTCTCTATATGTTTGGCAGGTCTAAGGCCATGGGGAGCCCAGGCCTTGGACAGGGCTGGAGGTTGGTGCAGGCTTGGTGACCAGAGCTTCCCAGCCACCTATGCACTGCCATGTATTCAAGATCAGTCATTTCTCAAAGTAATTCTGGACAGAATTTGAGCACATAACCTCATGACTTCAGAACACTCAACTTGGAGGATGGATCACGCTACTTTACGGTTTCTTTTTCACAAACCTGTGGTTCATCACCTACTTCTGGGTGGAATTATTAGCTTTTTGGTTTGCGGAAAAGAGAGGCACTTTCTTAACATCAGTGTATGCTGTGATTTTTATTGCCTCTTCCTCTTAATTCAGTTCCATTCTCTCCCTTCCATTTTTCCCGGCAGCCCCCTGCCCCAGGAATGATAGAGAATGAAGCTGAAGACTATGGAAAATACACCAATGACACTACCACTCGCACTGGAGACCAAAGCTGGGTCAGGAAGAGCTGTTGTCACACTTCGACATGCACTGAGAACTCTGAAACACTCTGATTTGATTTCTATGTTAATAGTGTCTATTAACTGACACATGTGGAACATGAGGAAGGGGCCAAAATTTCCCCAACTTCCCAAAGCAAAATGCAAGACTGCAATTGTCTGGAATGTGCTAGTACTGTCAAAAGTACACAATGTACTGTGGATTATGAAATGCATAATGATTCTATCTGTTCTAAGACCGCAAGATCACAAAATTTTCCCCAGGATAGAAAATAAAAATGAAGAAAACCTATGACATTGAATTGATCATGCTATCTATGCCTATGTTGATTGAGCACATTCTGAGTGTTGTATACATTATCTACAATCCTCACAGTAAACAAGCACTTAGAAATTATTAACCTCCCTTTATAGATAAGAAATATTTGCTCACAGAGATTAAGCAATTTGCCCAGCCTCACCCAGCTGGTATAAGACACAGACAGGAACTGAACTTGGTGGTGGCTGATTCTAAGACCTTTGCTCAATTTCTACAGCCTCCAAACAGTGGGAAGAATTGCTCTGGGTAGGTACTCTCTATTGGTCTTCTAGCAAACACTGACTCCACATCAAGCAGAAGGATCCAAGACCTGTCCCAACACTCAAGTGGCACAGCCTACTCTCTCTCCAACGGAAATACATCACTTCCATTTTTATCCCTCACCGAAGACTGCATTCACCCAATTTTGCACCAAAATACGGCATCCCCCAGGAAAAGAATTCTGAATCACCCTCCTCTTTTTAACTGTGCAATAACAACTGCACAGTTGTGAAAAGGCAACAAGAGTTGTGTTTTTAAGATCTCCAAACTCCTACCGCTCTGTACACGAAGATTCTAACAAACAAATTCAAACCGAAACTGTCCGAAGTCTCTATTCTCACTGGGTTGAGCCAGCGAGGTGGTGCCACTGCAAAGTCCACCTGTTCAGGGCACGGAGCACTCCTCTGGGGAGAAGGGAGGCCCTATTAACGGCGTCTGTTTTCTCAGTCTCGCTCCTTCGCATAAGCAGCTCCGTCTGCCCCGAACGCTCTTCCCAGGCCTTGGCTTAATGAATACAACTCTTCTTTCATATCTCTACTCATTGGGGGCGGCTTTATGCCCAGTTCCGGCCCCTCACAGCTCCCTTAAGACAGTTTATATTTTTACTTTTTTGTAGGATCTGGCCAGGTCTAACTCCCCACCAGCAAACGCATGGAGGGGGGGTTCACCGCCATTCCCTGGGTATGGGGTGATTCGAGTTATGGGACTAACCAACAGAAAGAGCTATTTGGGATTACCCATCTCACCACTAACCCTCCCACCGGAAGTCGCCCCCGACCTCTCAGAGAGCGGAAACCCTTAGGAATCACGCTGCAAGTCTCCAGTCCAGAGTTCCCAGCAGTCGGACCCCACCTCCGGGTCTCAGGGGCAAAGCTCCACCCCCGCCTCTTTGCGCCTGCGCTCTTGGAATCGAGGCTGGGGCGTTCTTCACCCCACCCACCCCGGCCGGAAGTCTTCACTCTTCTCCATTCTCGGGGTCGAGCGAAGTTTAGGTCCTTGGGACCTACCATTTTTATCAGTCTTTAATAAGACTTGATATTAAAGACACAATTAAATCGGTCTACTTTGGCCTAAAGCTAAGCCACGTTCTGTTTAGGTTTACCCCTCAGTCAAAATAATGGTACAGTCCCGTGTTGGCTCCGCCCCCTACTACCACAGTCCCGACGCTCCAGGCTAACTGACGTCCTCTGTTGTGTCGTCATCACGTGGCTCTCGAGGTAAGCATACGCACGGGTTCACGCCTTCCCAGCGCGCCGCTCGGCCTCCGCCGTTGCTAAGCGGCCTTGGATACCCGCGGCGGTGGGCGGTGTCAGGTGAAGATGGTGGTCACCGGGCCTCAGGTGAGAAGAGCTCTAAACTAGAGGGCCGGCCGGGGTGTTGGGGCGGCCTGGCGCTGGCGAGGGCTGCGCTGGACTGCCCTCGGAGCCTCTGGGCCAGCCTTATGGATAATAGAGGTCCTCTGGGGTAAAGTAAACTGAGCACGGATCTAGGCCTGAATCTCGGACCCTAGACTGGTTCAAGTCTCCATCGCTTCCTGCTACGATGATTTTCAGTGGTCCTGCTGAGTATGAAAGAGCATTGGACAAGGGCTCATGACATCTTGATCTCATTCCCTTTTCGTAGGAATCCTGCTCTTAGGAATCTGTTTTACGGCGAAAATAATTGCAAAAGCAGAAATATGTAAATTCCAGTAGTATCTGTGATGGCATAGAATGGAAAAGATGCCCATGCAGGCCGTGGTTCAGTTGATTATGACATAGCCCTGCAATAGATCATGCAACCAACCTAATCTTGAAGACTATTCCTGTAGGAAGCTCGAGAAAGCAGAATACAATGTTGTATATATACACTGAAAACAAGCATGCACAGAGATGGAATGAAACATGAAAAGATAAATGTGGTGGGTTCCTGGGGGCATTTTTTAACCTGGCAAAATGATTTTAAAGTTAAACTGCAAATATAAATATGTGAGACTAGCCAGGAAAATCTAAAAGTTAAGAGTAATAACGGGAGGGAAAGGGAGGACCAACAAAATTTTTTTAAAAAGTAATAAGGGGGATTAGCTCTCCAGTATCACCAGAAATTATAACATATTATAAAGTTACCGTAATTAAAATAGAATGGAACTGAGCAGGAACTTACTGGTAGATAGAATATATAGAATTCAGAATAAGATCCAAATATTTATAGTGATTTATTATATAGTCAAGGTGATGTTTTAATAAGCATTGAGAAGTTGGATTGGTGCCAGGCAATTTTCTAGTAAAAAATAAAATTTATTTTGAGTGAAATAAATTCCAAATGAACCAAAATTTAGCTTTTATTTTATTTTTTATTTATTTATTTGAGAGAGGAAGGGGGAGAGAGAGAGAGAAAGAGAAACATTGATTTGTTGTCCTACTTAATTTATGCATATATTGGTTGCTCCTTGTGTGTGCTCTGACTAGAGCTTGAACTCGCAACCTTGGCATATCCAGAGGACACGCTAACCGACTGAGCTACCTGGCCTGGGCCTCAACATTTAAATTTTTCAAATGACATGAAAGTACTGGAAGAAAGCATTGTTGGGTATATTTATAATCTTAGTTTAGCATGGAAAAAATTCTTCTAAAAATAGGTCATGCAATTTAAAATCACGAAAGGAAAAGATTAATTTTTTTTTTTTTTGTGTGGGACATGCCCCTAACAGGAACCGAAACTAGGACTCTCTGGTCCGCAGGCTTATGCTCAACCGTTGAGCCAAATTGGCCAGGGCAAGATTAATACTTTATAAAATTTAAAACCACTTGTGTAGCCTGTAAAATTCCACCAAACCAAACCAAAGAAGCTTCCATAAACTATGTCTAAAGACAAACAAATTTGTGAAAGTATTTGTTTAATGATCAATTAGAAAAATAAGAAACTCAATAGAAAAATAAGAGTACATGAACAAGAAAATCAGGGGAAACATGAGTGGCCAATATAAACAGTGAAAGATGGCCATCTCACTAATTTTAAAATGCTAATCAAAACAATAATGAGGGAGGGTACCTATCTTAATAGAAAAGGTGAAAAGGATTAGAAATAGAATTGTATTAGTATTAGTGGAAGTAAAAATTACAATTTTTTTGAGGGCAATTTGGGAATAATTAGCTATTTAACAGGTAGGTTTTTACAAATATGGAAAGTGCACAAAAACATGTTCAAGGATAATTGATATTTGTAGCATTGCTTTAGTAGCACAGTTTTTGGAAAGAAAAAGATGACAATCTATATAACTAGTTAAATTGATTATAGTACATCCACAAAATGGAATACTGTGCAGCAGTTAAAAAAAAAAAAGATTCCTATGTACCAACATGGAAAGATGTGAAAGCTACAGGGTTAGGTGAAAAAAATGAGTTGTAAAATAGTGTATATGAGCCTTGACTGCTTTTGCTCAGCGGTTAGAGCATCGGCCCACGGACCAGAGAGTCCCGAGTTCAGTTTCCACTAAGGGCATGTACTTTGGTTGTAGTTTGTCCCCGGCCCCGGTTGGGGTCATGTGGGTGGCAGCCAGTCGATGTGTCTCTCTCACATCGATGTTTCTCTCTCTCTCTTCCTCCTTCTCTCCCTTCCGCTCTATCTGAAGATCAATGCAAAAAATGTCCTCAGGTGATGATAAAAAAAAAAAAATAGGAAAAAAAATAGTGCATATGATAAGATCCTGTTTTGTAAATCAAACTATAAGTTAACTCATGTATAAAAAGAATCTAGAAGACTATATTTCACAGTTAACAGTGAGGAATCATGGTCTCCAATGGAATAGAGTGATAGCAGGCAGGGCCATGGTAGTAGGCTGGTAGTAGGCTGGTAGTAGGCAGGGCAAGAGACAGGAGGTCACCAGGGTTGGTCTTAGGTTTCTGCAGCTGTGATTATGCATTACATTCTCAACCTTTGAGAACTGCAGAGATTTCATAGGTAGGTTGCAGCTTTATACCCCTTTTCCTTAAATTAGAAGTAGACTCTGTTCCTTTTGTGGTCTTTCTTTTGGAATATTGTTTATTGTTTTTCTTTTTCTGATCCCTTCTTTTTTTCATAAGTAACCATGGAGAAAGAGCTTCGGAGCACCATTCTTTTCAATGCGTACAAAAAGGAAATATTTACCACCACCAGTGGCTATAAATCCATGCAGAAGAGACTTCGGAGCAATTGGAAGATTCAGAGGTGACCTTATGGATTGTTTACCCCTGCCGATAATATAGCCTGCTGATAAAACTGAAAATATTTTCTTATGTAAGCCATATTGTTTAGGTGGGAGAAGCTCAATTTAAAGTTCATTCAGAAGTAAATAAATTATTAAAGCATCTCTTTTGGAAATTGGCAGTTAGCATATTATTAAGTTGTCCCCCAAATCACAAATAAAAAATTTATTCTAATTACCCAAATACAGCTTTTTAAAAAAAAATCTTGATTGTTGCATGTATTACAGATGTTCCTCATTTTCCCTCCATTGACCCCCACCTCCTCCCCACTTCCGCCCCCCTCCTGCCTTTTCCCACACTGTTGTCTGTGTCCATGGGTTACGTAATAAGTTTTTTGGTTTATTTCTTCCCACCCCCCCAACCCCCTTCCCTTTGAGATTTGTCAGCCTAGCAACTAATTTGTACTTCTTAATCCCTTCACCTTTTTCACCTGTTCCCCCAAACCCCCTCCCATCTG